TTGTAATCGTTACTTGTAACAAATTATAATACATTTAATAAAATTGTTCGGCCAAAGAGGTCCCTTGTAAAAAAAAATAAAAAAAAATAAAAAAAAAAAAAAAAAAAAAAAAAAAAAAAAAAAGATATATTTACTCTAGTTTCTATTTTTTAGAAAACTTTCCTTCACATACTATTTGATTTGCGAATTCTATAAAATGTTCTCTTGTCCTAGAGCTTACTTTTTTTATTAGTCTGTAGCTGATTTCTGAAATTCTAGATATTGTATTTTCTTTTAGTACGTTTGTAACCTCTAGCCATTCTTCTTCTGTTATTTTGCATATAACTTCTGCATACCAATCTTTGTTAATTCTTTTTTGCTCTTTGTAAATACTAGCCCAATCTTGATCTATTCATTCGAATTGGTAGTTTCTCTTTTTTAATTGATCTTTAAAATGCCTTTCTATCTCTTTTTTAACTTTGCTGCTTTCTGTAACTAGTTCTCTATGCTCAAACTTGTTTTTGCTTTGAACTAGGACTCTGTCTACAGTGATTTTATTGTAAGAACATTCAAGCAGCTTGTTTAATATCAGCTTTTGGCTTTTAGGTATTAGTATAAATCTTTCTTCTATTCTCTCTTTAATTTCCTTCTTGTTTATTACTTGCAATTCTTTACATACTCTTTCTTTAAGTATATTCTACTATTCTTTGATTTCGTTGCAGTATTTCTTGTTCCAAACCTCTGGTAGAGCTAGAATATTAATATTATATTCTATATTAAGATACTCTATTCGCACATTTAATATTGCTCTCTCAAGGGTTTCAATACTTTGTTCTATATCTTTAGATTCTTTTCTATATATTATTCCTAAGACCTTAGCTCTACTGTAAATTAGTGATTTCGTTACTTCTTTTCTAATTTGGCTTTTTGAATTTTGCGTTTTGGTTGAAGGAATATACTTGCTTGCTGCTGCTTGAATTGCTTTCACAATAAGTTCCTATTCTTCATCAATATCTATTCTGAGCTCTAGTTCTGCAGTATTTCTATCTTTTCTTTTTCTTTTTTCTGAATTCCTGAAGATTTTTTCTATTTCTGAATAAGAATCGATTTATTAATAAAATATAATACAGATTACTACTAAATAATATCTGATAATCTTTTTTTAGTTCAAAGCTAATATAATTTTGCGACTACTAATATAAGGATAATTTCATCATATTTAAATATACTGGAGCATGAACAATATTATTAACAAGTCTTAGATCATAGTGATCATTTACTAAAAAGTTTTATTTGATGTAAAGTGGGATTTCTGGTTCAAAAATAAGTGTCGATTTGTATAAATTGCAATTTCAAATAGGCAAATTTACCCAGTACTTGTCTTTTTTTAAAATATTCGATAAAACTTATATTTTTTTTTTTCTTTTCTTATAACTCCAAAAAGCTATGAAAAAAAAACTGGTTGACATATGAACGAATTAGATTGAAATTAGAAACAAGAAAAAAAAATCAAAAAAAAACTAGGTGAGCGAATACGTTGAAATCAGGGAACAAAAATATCATATATTCTATTTCAATTATATACTACTCGACAAAAAGCTATTATTCAAATTAGAGTCTAACATAGTTCTTATAGTATGTTCTAAGAATGTTTTGTGGTACCGTGATATCTATTCTTGAATTGTGGAGACTTTTGAGATTTCATCTTGCTCTAACTCTCTATTATCTGCAAATTCTTTTAGCCTACTATACATATTAGCAGCATTTATCCGATCTTTAGCATGAATATTTCTTTGCAAGAACATTTGTTCAAGCATTTTTTTAACTGTATCTGACATCTGTTTACTCCTATCTCGATTACCATAGACCAAATTTTTATATAATGCCCATTCTTTATTCCAAGGAAAGTCAATATTGGATGTGTGTTCTATGACTATGCAAGTATCTTGTACTATATTTTCAATATTTGTTGCTTAATGAGAGGAGATGAATACATGTTATCAGTTATAATACTTACCTTCTTTCATATTATTATCTCTAGTTGTATCTATAGAATTATATTTGTATCTCAAATTTATTTCATAATAAAAATTATTTTATAATAAAAGATTCTTTTGTTACCTATTATCATAGTATCTTCTATTTCTGTTATGGTTAGGTTCTGGTTTTCTATATATAAAATTTGTATGAATATTAGTGTTAGTCAAACATATTATATTTTTTTTACTTTGGGGTTTTGGTAAAGCTATTATCCATTTTGAACATAGTTCAGTGTACGTTAAGACTTTTGGTTCTGAATGATGAAGTTCTTTATTACACAAACTAGCAATTGCAATAGGAGAAAAATAAGCTGGAGCTCTGAAATATAGTAATAGACATGCTACAATATATCCTGCCAATAGATCTGCAATTAGCCTTGCCAGTAATTATACTTAGATATTCTAGTAATAGTTTCTACACGTGGTTTTTTTTTCCTTTATTTTTATCAACTAAATTATTTTTTTAAATTCCGATTAGATTCAATATTCACTAAGTATGTACCTGCTAAATTATAGGTAGTAGCTACTATATCAGATCCTTTTGTTATTTCATATCCAACATGAACATATTGCTTAATAGCATAAGTTATCTAGAAAATAAAAAAGTATATATTATTCTTTATTATAAATTATTCTTATAAATAATTGAAGACTTACTATAGCATGATGTGAGTCAATTGTAGCTTTGCTTCACCAGGTTCCAAGAATAACTATTTACGAATCTTGACATTATACTAGTCAAACTAATAGGCTACAATTGCTATTAACTCACTATTATTATAATATGCCCATTGTCTGAAATTACTTTTATCTATTTGGGTTTTTTTTCAATATTGTTAAATATAGCTTCGAAACAAGATGCAATGAACCAGATATCTTGTTTCGTATCTGTAGACAAATGATCATATGCACTAATATTTAAACCTACAATATGATCTTCTTTAGTTATAACTAAGATTGTATGTAATGTCCAACCTCTTTTACTGAAAAATTCTTGCTTAGTTTCTCGTGCAGTTTTTGGAAGAATTCTCATCTTATAGTCTGCAATCATAATAGCACCATCGAAATCAAGACTTTCTAATGATGCTTTGTATTGTGCATTTAAATAATGTTTTTGAACATGGTATGCAAAGAAGTATTTTAGTTTTTCCTGCATTTCTAGTAATTAAGAATTATATATTTTACTAATATAGTTTTTTGTGAAAATAAAAAAATTAGAAAATTCTAAGCAATCTTGACAGCGCAAATCATGCTTATCTAAATATTCTCCAAAGGCAAATAGCAATCAATAATCAATACAGTTATTATATAAAGTTTTTCCATCTGACTTGCTGAGAGCTTTTTGTGTCTTAGTATATATGCTAACTTGCTTACTTTTTTTTTGTATCGTAGTATACTAGTTTTCTCCTATTTCTTTAAACTTATCCAGACGCCTAAAAACTTTGTACTTTCTGACTTTGATTAAGCTTAGTGGTATTCTGATTTCTATGAAATCCTTTTCTTTCTCTTGCTTGTGAGGATATCAAGCTATTGCTTCAAACTTTGTTTATTAATCTCAATGTTATTTAATATAAAAAAACTTTTCGATACTTGGATGATTTCTTGCAGTATATATTGAGATCCTACTACCCATATAGTATTATCTGCATATGCCAATGCTGAAATTATTATTTTTTCTGTCTTGTAAGCTCATTTTTCAATTTCTGTTGGCTACCAGAGCTCTGTTTGGTATCTGATTTCTAGCTGTTGTATTCTTACTAGTAATAGGTCATAAAAAATTTTCCATATTAGTAGTGAAATCACTTCTCCTTAGTTAATTTCATTACTAGCTATAAAGAAATCTGTTGGGCCTTCATTTGTTGTTACTCTTATTTCACGGTTTTAATACAATTGCTTAATGAAAGTGATCAGATTTTCTGAGAGCTTTATTCTTCTTATAGAGAGCTCAAGAGCATGTATGCTTACTGAATCAAAAACTTTTCTCATGTCTTAGAATACTATTCAAAGCTTTTTTCTTTCTGAATTGCATCTTCGATGACATATATTGGTGCTATTATACTTTCATTAGATAGTCTTGCAAAGTTTGCTCCTTTTAAGATCTGCTTTTCAACAAACACCTTATTAAGTCTTTTTTAAACTATTCTGACTATAAGTTTTCTGAACGTTTCAAGTAACATTATTGGTCTAGTACTAGCAAAGTTGAATTCTCAATCTGTATTTTTGGGAATTAGATATATTTACCGGAGTTGGGTCCCATGGCTTAGTTGGTTAAGTCCTCAACCCTCCACAGACAAGGTCAACGGTTCGAGTCCGGTTGGAGGC